CTTTCACCTTATGACATCGCGCATCTTGCTACAATTCTATTTCAGCCAGTACAATACGGTGTATTTCAAGAAACTTGGAGGCGAGCGGCTGAACGCACTGCTTTAACAAACATGCAGTTGCCTCAACACGACCCTCGTCATGCTGTGGGTGTTGATGCCCTACTGGGCACTGGGCCTTTTGCTAATCCAGATTTACAGGCAAGGTGGGATCCTTCGATTTTGGCACAAGCTCAACAAATTGGCATGAGTGCCTTAACTAAAACAATGGAAATGGCAGCTCCAAAACAGAAATATGTCACTATACAGCAAGGGACGAGAGAACCATTTTTGCAATTTGCAGAAAAACTTGCTGCAGCTATTGAGAAACAGGTAGAAGATGAAACCTTGCGAGACAAATTGTGTGTACAATTGGCTAAAGAAAATGCAAACCCAGATTGCAGAAAGATTATTGATACTTTACCTGGGGAACCCACCTTGTCTGAAATGGTTACTGCTTGCTCAAAAGTTGGTTCAGTCGAGCATAAAATGGCAGCTCTTGCTGCAGTGCTAAGACCTTCAGCAAAATGTTATAATTGTGGACAACAAGGGCATGTAAGATCACAGTGTACCACAGTGTCAAATGCTGTCCGGAAAACAACATTTAAGCCAAGTGCAAGCAGCGATGTTGTGTGCAATCGCTGTGCTAAACTTGGGCACTATGCTAAACAGTGCAGGAGTAAATATCACGCAAATGGTCAGCTATTGCAGGGAAACCCAAAGAGGAGCGCGAAGGGGCGCGTGGGGAAACAAATACCCCAACAACAACAACTACCACAACAGCAAATGCGGGCCTTCCCAGCACTGCAAAGCTACCCATTTGCGAGCAATACTCAGGGGCAACAAGCGGGTCCGCAGGGATTGATATACCCACCGCTGACACAGTAACCATTTTGACAAAAGAAATATGTAAAGTGCCCCTTGATGCCTATGGTCCGATAGGACGGGGATTGAGTGCATTTTTAATAGGGAGGTCAAGTACTACACTTAGAGGTATTCATGTGCATCTAGGGCTTATTGATGCCGATTATTTAGGACAGATTCATGCCATGGTATCCATCCATGACCCTCCTGTCACTATTCAGAAAGGAACCTGCATTGCTCAAATTGTACCTTTTGTAAGTTCTGTTCCAAATACAGTGGACCGAAGTCGCGGCGCAGGAAGTTTTGGATCAACAGGAGTACCTCGAGTGTTCTGGACTGAGAAAGTAACGGAGAGCCGTCCAGAAAAGACATGCACTCTCACTGCCAGTGGATGTCATCCAGGAACTATATCAGTAACAGGTTTGATTGACACTGGAGCAGATGTCACAATACTCTCGCGACTTTGCTGGCCTCAATCGTGGCCTCTCACTCATGCAAGTTTTGGACTCCTGGGGTTGGGTGGTGCTACAACAGGTGGCCTGTCAGCCATTGTAATTAATGTGAAACATCCTGATGGCCAACAAGCTAACATCAGACCCTATGTTGCCGATGCTCCTCAGAGTTTGTGGGGACAAGATTGCTTATCTCAATGGGGTGTCAAAATTACTACGGATTTTTAATGGGGGCCACTGTGATGCAGGGCAATGAACGTCCAGTTGTAGCCCTGACATGGTTGACAGATAAGCCTGTCTGGGTTCGCCAGTGGCCCCTTACTACTGAAAAGCTTACTGCCCTGCAAGAATTAGTCACAGAACAATTGCAAGCAGGACATATTGAGGAATCATTCAGTCCCTGGAATACCCCTGTTTTTGTAATAAAAAAGAAATCGGGAAAATGGAGACTTTTACATGATTTACGGCAGATAAATGCTGTAATGGCAACAATGGGAGCTTTACAACCAGGCCTTCCTACACCCACAATGATTCCACAGGAATGGCAAATAGTTGTCATTGACCTGAAAGATTGTTTCTTCACTATTCCATTGGCTGAGCAGGACAAAGAAAAGTTCGCTTTCACTGTGCCTTCTATAAATCATGCGGAACCTGATAAAAGATATCAATGGAAGGTACTTCCCCAAGGAATGAAAAATTCGCCAACTATTTGTCAATGGTTTGTGGCACAGGCCTTGTCAAAAGTGCGGGAGCAATTTAAAAATTGCTACTGTTATCACTACATGGATGATATCTTGTTGGCATCTGACAACAAACAACAGTTATCAGCTCTTAAACAATGTGCTGTGACAAATTTGAAGGCTTTTGGCCTGATCATTGCTCCAGAGAAGGTGCAGGAACACATGCCTTGGAAATATCTAGGTATGTTGGTGACCAACACTCAAGTTATGCCTCAACCTGTAAAGTTAGACATTGATGTTAAAACTGCTACTGATGTACAGAAATTGGTTGGTTTGATAGGTTGGATTCGATCATATTTAGGTATAACTAATCATCAGATGCAGCCATTGTTTGATTTGTTGTCAGGCATCACCTCCTCTACTGATAGGAGGCAATTGACCTCAGCGGCAAAAAAGACCCTAGAAGAAATAGAATTAGCCCTAGCACACAAATTTGTTAACAGGATAGATATCTCTGTTGGTGTTCAATTGTTTATTTTGAAAGACCATGAAATACCATGTGGGATACTGTGTCAATGGAATGATAATTGGGAAGATCAACTGCATATTCTGGAATGGATATTTTTATCTTTCAGATCTCGGAAAACAGCTCCAGGACTTTATGAGCTTTTTGCAGACATTATCATCAAGGGCCGCAGGCGATGTCATGAGATTTTGGGACATGACCCTGTGACCATTGTGATACCTGTACAACAGTGGTATTTTGAATGGTGCTTTCAAAATAATCACGAATTGCAGTCTGCCTTATCTTGTTTTACAGGCCAGATCGCATACCATTTGCCTTCTCATCCTGTTCTAACCCTGACTAAAGAGATTCCTTTTGAGGGGAAACAAATTTGTTCTCCTGTTCCAGTGGAAGGTATAACGGTTTTTACAGATGGATCCGGGAAAACCGGAAAAGCAGCTGTGGCTTGGAGAAAGGATGATCACTGGGAATATGAGACAATGATTCAGCAGGGATCTCCTCAACTGGTTGAACTTTCTGCTGTTTTTTTGGCTTTTACTTTGTTTCCTGGTCTTGTAAATATAGTTACCGATTCCATTTATGTTGCCAATTTGGTTAAGCATTTAGATCAAGCAGTGTTGTATAATGTTCAAGAGAAGCCATTGTTTAATATGTTAGTAAAGCTATGGACAGTTATTGGCGCTCAAAAACATCCTTACTTCATCATGCACATTCGCAGCCATACATCATTACCAGGATTTTTTGTTGAAGGCAATGCCTATGTTGATTCTCTAGTAGCTGCTGCTGCAATCAAAACTGTACCCAATGTGTTGCAGCAGGCAATTTTATCTCATCAATTTTTTCATCAGAGTGCTCAAGCTTTACAGCAGCAATTCAAATTGTCTTCTGGTGAAGCAAAATCAATCCTTTCTTCTTGTCCTGACTGTCACATGACTCATGTCACTCAGTATTATGGTACCAACCCTAGGGGCCTTTCGGCGTTAGAAGAATGGCAAACTGATGTTACTAAAATACCAGAATTTGGTCGCTTTAAGTATGTTCATGTTACAGTTGATACTTTTTCTCATGCAATGGTTGCTTCAGCATTCACAGGAGAAAAAACTCGTGATGCTATTCGTCATTTTTATCATGCCTTTTTTATTTTAGGTGTTCCGTGTCACATAAAAACAGATAACGGCCCAGCATATGCTTCGCAGAAAATGCAAGCATTCTTTCGTGCTTGGGGCATTGAGCATTCTACAGGCATTCCACATGTCCCCACGGGCCAAGCAATTATTGAAAGAGCTCACGGACTTCTTAAACGTCAGGTTCAAAAACAAAAAGGGGGAATGCAACAGGAGTCACCTCAAGTGAGATTAGATAAAGCTGTTTATGTGTTGAACTTTTTGCGTCCCCTACCTGATTCACAGTTATCTCCAATCTTTTACCATTTTTCTTCTTTGAATTCTAAGCAACCAGATTTCCGTAGAAATATTAAGGTATGGGTTAAGGATTTGATTACTGGTATATGGTCTGGCCCAGTGGAACTGATAACCTGGGGGAGGGGTTATGCTTGTGTTTTGACAGATAATGGTCCTCGATGGGTTCCTGCTCGCTGTGTTAAACCTTACCTAGAACGTGCAGGAAAGGACAGGATGGATGGTTCCGCAGTTGAAGCAGAACGTGCGGATGACGCTGCCTAAGACCATATATCAGTACTCAAAGATGGATGAAGGACAGGAATGATTGTATTAAGAGTGGGAATTTTGTTGATGGTTGTGATTGTGGGTTTTGTATGTCCCCTCTCTGCTGGGATTTTTGCAAAGGGCCCTGCAAAAATCCATAGCAGCTGTATTTACAGTCCAAAAACAAAAAGGGGGAATTGTGGAAGGGGCTAACAGCGGGCCTGTTAGCTAAAGGAGCGAGAAGAAGCTGAGAAGTAAGAAGAAACTGATAAGGAGCTCTCTCCAAGGCTGTAACCAAGGAGACCGAGAGAGGAGGGATAGAAGAACTTTGCAGCTGGATGAAACATTTTTAGAAAGTTAATTAAGTCACCATAACTTTTTCACCAATAGTATTATGTTGATCTATTGTGGCCAATAGTAAAGATAGAAGAAGGATAAACAACTGGAAAGTGTATAAAAATCAGCCACATTCAATAATAAAGTGTTGCCAACTGAGACTGCTTGTGGTCTCTGCTTTATGTCGTGACCGCCTCGACAGCGACACTTGTGGTCACTATAGAGTTGTTAATCACCAAGCTTGCTATGGGGGTTGGCCCACGGCAATCAGCCTCGAGCTAGCTTGGCTGAGGACTAGTCTCCTGAGCTATCTTGAACTGCTTGACAATAAGGCCAGATTAGAAGCTAATAAAGCTTCTAATGAGCCTCCTTTTCTCCAGGCTGAGCCCTCCCAGCTCTCTCAGCCACTCCTTATATCATTTCACTAGCTTCATTGCCTTTCTCAGAGAACTTAGCAGCCGTGGCAGGAGGCTGGAACTACATGATCTTTAAGACCCCTTCCAACCCAAACCATTTTGTGATTTTGTAAGAAATAATTTGTAAAATATTTCCAATGATTTACCATGAGATTGTCCTCGAAGAACAAGATCAGAGAGGTGGTTGTTCATAGCTCTCATTTTAACATAGGCAGTGTAGTGCCCAGACCTCATTGTTCCGCTGTGTTCGACAACTCCATAGAGAGAGTACAAGACCTTTGTATTCCCTTCAGCCACATTCTAGAAAACCACAAGTTTAGCTATGTCAGCCAAGTGCTGGGTTTTGAAGAATATAAGCTCTTTGATTTTTTTGCTGATGAAATGGAAACTGATCATTAGAGATTCATGCAAGCACTACAGTTATGAGCAGTGAAATGCAAGTTATCACACAAAGTAACAGGCTTGAGAAGCATTGTACAAAGATTTTGCTATGCAGCTTTGTTGTGAAAGCACATTAGAACATGGGAAAGGAGAATCTGATTGTTTTCCCACTTACTTTACATTTAGCTGTACAGAAAGGAGCCAAGTCTATCACTTCTGGGAACTTGATATGCCTGTTAACCTTCTGCAGATTAAATCCAGCCTTAAACAACCAAAGTAGAGGGAAAACCCCATCATGTTAAAATGGAGCATACCAAAACCACACTTAGTTACTAAATGTTTCAGGTTAAAGTTTCAACAACACAAATTAGTTTTACATTACACAAAACTGAGTAAAAGCAATTTTTTTTTTTCTCTGATGTCCAGTATTCCAGCATTATTTCCTTGCCCCCACACGCTGCACTGGAGCACAAGTTAAGATGGCTCTTCAGCTCATTCATACATTAATGTAATAGTAGCAGAAGTGGAAAAAGAATCAGCTCTAATGGACTTCAGTAACTATGAGGCCAACTCTGGCTTCTCAGATACTGTCACATGCCTGAGGATCTGATCTTAGAACACCCGAACTGACGCAAATTGCTCCCACCTTAATCAAACAATTGTCCAGCATCAAACTGGAAAAACAAAAGGGAGATGATGATAAATGTTATTTTCTTCATATTACAGTCTCTTGGATCAGGCTACACATTTCCATTTTCTACATGAAATTGGTTTTCATCTAATTAAAGTTGCCTCCCTTATTTTTCAAGTATATTGACCAAAAACACCAAACAGCTTTAAATTTAGAGGTACTGTCTCCCTTTCCTTTCCTTTCCTCCTTCTCTCTTGAAAAGCTAAAGCCCTGAGTCAAAAATTTTTCTACAACTTGGGAATAAACAGGTATGTGACTTCAGTGTCTGTAAATAAAACTGAAGTTACTTTCCTTTCATCCTTCTGCTCCGCAAGGCTCAGAATCCTCTCTTTTCCACTTCTGCCAACTTGATACTTATTTGTTACTAGTAAGGGATCCTATTTACCTATACCTACTGAAATATATGAGCCCATGAGCAGCTGTAATAGTAGGAAACCATTAATGCTAAGATTCTGCTTAACACAGTAAGCAGTAAGAATAATGAGGGAATATGTTGTGAATACACTCCCAAAACAGTCTTTTCCAGTTAATTAAGGGAATATTCTTTCAGGGAAACACACGTTAGTGCCTCAAAGACCACAAAACACAATGCTGCATACGAATGCCTTCCAAACTTTGGGAAAAAAACCCCCAAACTAGTTTTCTAGAAAATAAAAGTAATGTCAGCATATTTTCAAATTAAGCTAATACTACACGCATATGTACATGTATATACATATTAACTTGAGGCTATATACATGTATCAGCCTGCTACTTACCTGCTGAAACCTCTTTAAGTGAAGGGTTAAAATTGGAGGAGCTAGAGAGATGAGCATCTGCTTTTTGGCATTAGTATAAACACACTTCTTTTCACCTGCAGAAAATAAAAATCACCAAAGATTAAAACAAGTGATTTATATCAAAACAAAGGTTACAGCAGGAATTTATTTTTACTATTTACAATGTCATCTATTACAAGACCTGAGAAGCTGAGCATTCCCCTTTAATACAATGAATGAAAGTAGACAAAGTTGTACAAGGGATAATCCCCCCACCCTTTACCCACTCAAGAAGCAGACAGGGATACGTTTAAAGTTTTCTTTTAAAAAGTCTGTCATACTTAAGTTGTTCTTTGGTCCACAATGCCTTTGTGTACACACATCACACAGTAGTTTATTGGTCTCGGTAAGTGTTTCATTACGGGTAAATTGATACAAACAATGATGGACTGAATCTTCCTCAGGGTTTAGCTCTTCCCTGTTTGCCAGCGTACAAAATGCCACTTCGGGGTCATCTTTGCATGTCTTGTTGGGAACAGGCTGAAGGCCATCCACGGTATTTGTGTCACTTGTGTCACTGGCACCCAAGTGGAGTTTTGAAAAGTCTGTAGCAAGCTCTTCCTCATCTTCATTGTCATCATCCTCCTCTTCAAAGACAGGTTGTCAAGGCCATTGACAAACTTCATAGGAGAATCTAAGCCTTCCATAGAGAGATCCACGAGTGACTCATTTTCTTCCCACTCTTGTTCTGGCTTTCCTCCATTTTCAGGCCTGCTTGTACTAGGTTAACTATATGATGCTTTTATCCCCAATCGTCTTGTTCTGTTTATGCTGAATAATAATTTGCTGAATAAATATTAATTATAATAATAAGAATAATAAGAATAAGTTTTGCACCTTTAAGACTTGTTCCAGAGAGTGAAGGGGGCAGAGAAGAAGTGCACAGTTTGTTTTCAGACACTGCACTCACCCCTCCACATTCCTGCTCCTGGACTGTGTTGTCTGCAGATGGGCAGACAGCAGGACAGAGCTCTCCTTTGCTTTTAGTTAGTTTAGCTAGCTCAGGCAAAGAAATTCCCTGGACTGTGGGGTTTTTTCCTTTTTCTTTGGGCCTGTTCAAACCTGCTGTGGACTGAACACCCAGGGGAGCACCGGCAGCTCACACCTGTGACCCACCAGGCCAGGCCTGGCCGGCTACATTTCCAGCACCAGAGGGACAGATAAGAGACTGAGTGAGCTGAACTGCAACCTGGGGAGGGGACTTTCTCAGTTTGTCATCTCTTTTGGAGTAGCAAGGGGTTTTATTGTTTAATATTGTTTAGGTTTTATTGTTTAATAAACAGTTTTTTTCCACTTTTCTCCAAGGAGGTGTAGTAGTAAGGGACAGGCGTTCGGAAGATTTCGGGCTGTGACGGAAAATTACAGGAATCCTTCTGCCCCCCTCCCCATAGATAAAGATCACCCTTAGAATGTAGCCAAACAGGTAGTCCCCCTAACCTATGGATGCCAGTAACTTTCCACTCCATACTAACCCTAGAATGTATAGCCAAACCCCTGTCTGACGTAGAGAAACCCCTTAGTCCATAAATACCCTCGAGACCCTTCAATAAACGCCTTTAACCGTCCACCACATTGGTGTTAGTGTCCGTTATTGGCCACGAGGGATCCCAAGGAGGAGATCGCAGTGCTGGACTCCGATACCAGGTCGCCGTGGCCTTCACAAGAAGGCAACAGGAGGTATTTTCTCCTGGACCGGTTGGGGGAGGGGCCGATTGAATCTGCTTTCCTAGAGGAGCCCCTTTGGGGGTTCTCTCCCAAATTTGCCATGAATCAGGACAAATACATTTATTGGCGCCCAACGCGTGGCCCAAGAAAGTGGAAAAAAGCTCTATTGATTGCATGTTGGTTGTGCTTGCTCTGTAGTGAGTTAAAGCAGTCAGTAGCCATTTTGCTTGAATTTGTAATGTCTCTTGGAGTGGAAGCCTTCATGTGATTCTGGTCTCTAGACCTTTTTAAGGTTTCAATACCTTTCTGGTCACTAGGATTATTGTCTATAACACGTAATTGGTATAGTAGAGGGGCACAGATTGGAATAGGTATTGTGCTGGCCTTGGTGATAATGATTTATAGGGCATTTACAAAGATACTGGAGTCTGTTTATGATATGTATGGTTTATGGCTTCTTCATCCTACCCTGCATCCTAGTTCCAGTAGTATATTTTGGGAATTTATTAGTCGTTGCACACAGTTTGTTAGAGGAGGAGCAGGGAATGAGGCTTTCCAGCCTTTCCTTTCCTTCTTCTCCTTTGAATCTGTTATGTCACTTTTTGAGAATGTTCAGTTTCCCTTGAGAGAAACCGTCCTTCTGGTATTTAATCTGGTAAGCTTCCTCTCTATGGTCTGCAGCTTCTCTAGAATGAGGGCTGAGATATCCAGAGGAGCTGGTGAGACTCCTGACCCAGAAGCAGACGCAGGTGTGGCAAAATCCTAAAAATCCTGAGTGGTGTGGAGAATGGGAAAATAGGCTAAACCATGAAGGAATTTTCTGATCCTGTAAACTGGGATTTTCCATGTAAACGAATTCAGAACCCAGCTGAGGTGGGAAAATACCTGAAAGAGAAGTGCCATGATGATTCTAAAGAGAAAAGGCTCATTGCAATAAGTTGGGATCTGGCCTATGCTTATCGCACTCTGTTAGATACTGTAGGGCAGCAGACAGAGGCAGGGAGGCAGGGAGATAAAGCAGCAGCTACTGCAGTCACTCAGGCTGCAGCCAACACCCCAGGCACAAAGCCAGCAGCTAAACCAGATAAGTGAGCCTAAGCCACTGGCAGTTGCTGCAGGAAAAAAGCACACAAGCAAAACCAATCAGCTGGTGACTGACGATGACGATGCAGAGGAAGGACCCTCAACACCAACTGATACAAATGCCAAAGTTAACGCAACTGACACAGTATCAGAAACCAGTATTGAGTCCTATTCCCTGAAGGACCTTCATGGCCTAAGGAAGGATTACACTCGAAGACCTGATGATCTATAATTAGTTGGTTAGTCCGTCTCTGGGATGCTGCAGGTGAGGCTACAGTTTTGGACGGTAGTGAAGCGAGGCATTTGGGATCCCTGTCACATGATCCTGTCATTGACCAAGGAATGATGAGGAGGGCTAACCCTCACAGCCTCTGGGCACGTGTCCTGCGAAGTGTAGCACAAAGATGTGTGCAGACAATCTCTGTATGCAGCAAACCCAGTGGAAGACCATAGAACAAGGGATTCAATGCTTGGGGGAAACGGCAGTGGCAGAGATTGTCTTTTCAGATGACATAAAAACTGTAAATCCAGACTTGGTACAATGCACATCTGTGATGTGGTAAAAACTTGTATGACTTGGGCCACAAGAATATGCTTCTGCTTTAGCAAAAATAAAGTGAGATGAGAGGGTGAGGAGACTGTGCTTGATATGGCAAAGAAGCTCCGAGCATATGCAAATGCTGTACATGGCCCAACACATGCCAGAATCGCAGCGGTGGAAACACGTCTGCAGAAATTATAATGTCATGAGTAGAAAAGCTGCCCATTTTTTTTAAAGGTTGCAGAGTTAACAGGTTGGGCCAGTTGCTGCCAGGGTGGAGTTCTAACTGTTTGTTATTGTAATCACCTGTTGTTTTCGTTAACTACCAGTAGTTGATGGTTAAGAATTCCCACTTAGCCCTGCTGCTTCCTGGAGAATGTCACCCAGATGGTGAAGAGGAGGAGACCTTGGAGTTAGCATGTAAATGACCTTGGATCCAGCATGCAATGGGAGAAGCCCCTCACCAAACCTAGCCAAAAACCCCTAAAAAGAATGAGCCAACACGAAATGGAGGAATCAAAGTGATGTCTAGATGTGAGGAACAGAATCTAGTATCTGCTAAGACCCTTTTACCCCTCACCCTAACCTAAAAGGATGTCAGCTACACAGAGGGCGTCAAATGTTAAACCAGAAAATAAGGGATTCTCCTGATGCTCTTGTGAGGACAGAAGCCCCAGCTCTGCCCACAGACCAGTGGACAAAGTTGCACTCTTTCTCCTCCTCCTCCAAATCACTCCTGGGAGCAGCGGTGGTGTGAGCGCGCACACATAGATTCTCCCCTCCCCAGCTGATCACTTTTAATAAAGGCATTAAAAAGGAGAAAGGTCCCCTGCCGGTGTTTTTTTCAGCTGGGGACTCATCTGGGATAGCCACGCCCAAAGAGGACACCAGGACTGGCCATCTTGAACCTCCAGGACAGCTGGCTATCAGGATCAAGAAGATCAGCTTGGGACCAGTGACACGGAGGAGCGCCAGACTGGTGAGAAATATCCAGCGGCAGGAGTAGGGGGCAAGTGAGTGTGTGTGAGTGAGATGGGGGCCAGCAACTTGGACCCACAGAGCGAGTGTGGACCTCCTAGTGCTGTGGTTCTGGACTCCCACGAGGGAGCTGGCCGAGAACAGGGGGACGCAGGTGGGATCAGTGTGAGTGAGTCACCTCCTAAGGGGTAAAGAGGGGTCCCCTCTGGGCGTGCAGAGGAAATAGTGTATGAGTGGCATGCACCCCAAAAGTTCTGACAGAGGGAAGTCAGGCAGACTGCAAGTCCCGAGAAGGATTCGGGCAAGCTCACAAGTCCTGCAGGCAAATTAAGTCCTGACAAAGGGGTCAGGTATGAACCCCAGCGAAGGAGTCCGGGGTCTCGTGTTTTTAAGTCCTGATGCACAAGTCCTAGCATTTGGGAAAGTTAGGCAAACTAGGGATCAGGCAGTGGTTTTTGTGTAAAGTCCTGAAGGATCAGGCAAATCTGAAGTGGGGATGAGGAAGCTGGAACTCCTCAAATAGAATTTTTTCTCGAGATTACTTGTCAGTACATTTTTTTGAGTAAAGGCAACTTTGTGATTTTTTTCTGTTGAGACCTGAAATAATGGGAGGGTGTAATAGTAAGAAGAGAGGTGAGAGATTGAATAATATACCCCCCCACAGTCCCTTAGGTGAACTTCTAGAGATGGGATTCTATAGAGGCAATGGAGGGATCAGATAAGGTTAAGATGATTCACTACTGTATAGAAATCTGGCCAGAGTTAGATGTGCAAGGAGGATGGCTGTGTAGGATGAAAGACAAGTGGATGTGTCAACAATTTAGTCATATCTCACAGCTTGAGGAGATACCGATCCCGAGCAACTATTATATGCAGCTTGTTGGTTAAAGAGTGCTATTGGAGATGAAGGCGTGCAAATTTGTAAGGTGCAGAGGAAGAAAGAGGGGAATGAAGGAGAGATGCTAGAGTTAGAGAGAGTAGTAAAAGGTGGGACCCCTAGACTATTTGCCTCCTGATGCCCCTCCACCTTATAATCGTCTTCCTCGGGCACCTCAAATTGCAGATCTGGCTTTTCCCCCAGCTGCCACCCCATTACCACCCTCTCTAATTCCTTCTACCTCTTTGCCTTCCTTTATGGTAAACTTGGTATCTCCCACAGTAGCCACTCCCTTACTACCCCCTTTGGCTCCTCCAGTTGCTTCTGCACCCCCACAAGTGCCTACTCCACCGGTTACACTCTCCACCCCTTCTCCAGCTCCAATTAACATGCACCCAGGCTTCTCTCTCCATCCTATTGCTGTCCCCTTACCTCCTCCTAGTTGGGATACAAATGCCTCCTTACCTGGCAAACTCTTATCACCGAATACAGCTGTTGACCTACAGAAAGTCCAGGATAATGCTAATACCTCTCAAATTAGTAGTTTTGGGTCGGAGGATGGGCCATACTGCAGTATCCAAGACCTCCAGGGTAGAGAGACTTTTTCCCCTCAGAGAAGTTCCTATGGGAGGAGTAGTGAGAAATGTTGGCTTTGTGAATGCTCCTCTAACCACTTCTGAGGTGAGAGGATTCAAGAAAGCGTTAGGGAATTTAGCTGAGGATCCAGTGAGCATAGCCACTCAAGTGGATCAATTCTTAGGTCCAAATATCTACACTTGGGGGGGAGATGAATTCTATTTTAAATATATTATTTTCCCCAGAAGAGGTCCGGATGATTAGAGCTGCTAGCATAAGAATTTGGGAGAAAGAGAACCATCTGGGACCCCAGGTGCCATCAGGTGAACAGAAATTGCCACTAACAGATCCCAATTGGAACCCTAATCAGGAGGAAGGGAGGAAGGCCATGATAGAATATAGGTCTTTGATAATTCAGGGGATCAGAGTCAGTTCCCAAATGAACTAATACCAAATTGGCATTTGAAGGTGCACAAGAAAAGGATGAAACTCTTGCTACTTGGCTTAATCGCCTAAAGCGGAACTTCCAATTGTACTCTAAAATAGACCCAGACACCCCAGAAGGTCAAGTGCTACTAAAGGTCCAATTTGTTACCAAATCTTGGCCTGATATACGGAGAAAACTGGAAAAGATTGAAGATTGGCAAGAGAAAGACATTAATGAGTTATTGAGAGAAGCATTGAAAGTGTATTTAAGGAGGGAAGAAGAAAGAGCAAAGGCCAAGGTTAGGATCATGGTTGCAGTAGCTAGAGAAAGTGTGGGGGCGAGCAACTCTATCCCACAATCCAAGGTAACAAAAGAGTGGGCGGGTCCACTACCAGGAGGAGGCAAGGATAGGCCAGTACTGTCAGGTACAAGAGGGATGGAGAGACCTCAAGTCCCTTTGAGTGAAAGGCGCTGCTATTATTGTGTGGAAATTGGACATGTTAGGAGGGTTTGTAAAAAGCTCAGTCTTGATGAGGCAATAGCCAGGGAACAAGAAGTCTTAGAGAGTGTTCTTAGAGGTGACAATTAGGGGTATCAGGGGCTTTACACTTTAGGGGATCCAATGTAACATATAGAGGAGCCTTGGTAAACTTTGAAGTGGGACCCCTAAATGAAGAATTTGAATTTTTAGTTGATACAGGAGCAGATAAGTCCTGTCTCAACAAAGTACCAGAAGGCATGGTAATTGGTAGAAAATTTTGTGAGGTATTAGGGGCTGAAGGGAAACCTCAGTGATTGAAGATGTAAAAATAATTTGAAACTCAAGACAGCGTAAAGCTAATTTTATTTACCTACCTAAACTAGAAAAAAGTTTGTTAGGAAGAGATTTACAGGTCCATTTGGGGATTGGGATTGTCCCAAGAGAAGGGACGATGGTAGTACAAATAATGAATTTACCCCAAGGAGACATCACAGAGATAAAGCCCGAGTTAT